ACGTATTCCTCAGCTTCTCGGGTACGTGAGTAGCTTTCTTAGCAGAGATAGCTGAAGACAGATGGGTTGCAGAGCTCCCCCGGTTTCTTAGAATAGGTTTCTCAATTATCCAGAGACATCTGTCCTTACCATGGGCTGAAAGCCTGAAGTCCAGGTGGAAGCCCACGCGCCACAGTGAAGAGGGGGCAGGCGGGCAAGACTTGGGTGCCCCTGCCAGCTTCACCCTGTGCTTCTGCCCGCCATCCACAGCCTTGCTCCTGCCTGGTTAACCTGCAAAGGACCCAATCCATGAGGTTGTGTGCGGGAGGCAGAAGAAGAAAAGAAAATGTTCTCTGATTCCTGTTTAGGGCCAGCAGATGTGTGGCCAGGCTAACAGGCTCTAAATTATCTGTAACTGTAGAGTATGCGTGTGCATATCTATGTCTCTGTGTGTGAGAGAAGGAGAGAGAGAACTTATTTTTCCATATACAACTGTAGGTATTCCCCAAGCACAGAAACCCCACGCACATCTGAGCACAAAATGGGTGGGGCGCTGAGGTACCTGAGCCTGGCTGGTTGCATTGTTGGGTGGGTGGGACACCTTCTCGGGCAGGTGCAGGACTTGCCCATCAGCTGGCAGGAGTGATTCACTCAGGTCCCCACCGTCTCCCAGCATGTCTCCCAGTCAGCTGGGTGACTAACCCCAGGGGAGAAGGGTGTGTAGTGACCTGCTTTGGCCGGAAATGACAGGAGCGCATAGCTGCAGTCAGCACCTTATCCCAGAGGTGCTGGTGCAAGTTCCTGGGCTGGCCAGACACACAGGTATTTCTGGACCGCGGCGCAGGGCCCATCACAATGAGCTTCCCGCCAGCCAGTCTGGATCCCTCAGCACGGGGTGTGGACTCCTTCAGCCCCTCCCATGACCCGTTTTCTGTGTTTCCACAGGGCAGCATCTTCCTATTTCTCCCTGGCCACGACCCACCTGTCACAGTTGAGCATCTGTTTGCCTCAAGTTGATTTCCAGAAGCAGGTAAGAACCCCAGGGGCGGGACATCTGGTAACCTGCCCATAGATCAGTGCTGGGGAGGGTCCTGCCTTGGGTACCAGCTCCTGGGCTGACCGTGAAGTAGGCACGTCTCATGTCCTTTCTTCATTGTCCGTAATGATGCTCATGGCTTCAGCTGGGTGCAGTGCTTTTGTTGATGTCTTTTATGTTGTTAAGATGTGTGTAGTCTGAATTAATATTTTATATAAGCTCCATGAAGCACACCATTATATGGTGTTGTATTTTCATGCAACCTAGATACTGTACAGTTGTAAGAATAAATTTTGAAACATGAGCATGTAAAATATAGCAGAATTTTTTTAATGGACAAAACAAAAGGCAAGTGTCAGGATCCATGGGGCAGAGGTAGCTTGTGTATCTACAGGCCCCTACTGCTGTCTGGCCCAGTCTGCAGTTACTCAGTGTTTATAATACAAGCAGGTGCTAGACCACCCTCGGTATAAATGTATATTCCAGTTTATGTAAGTGTGGGTGTTAAACAGCATCAGCTTCAGGTTTATCGGTAAAAATGAGGGCAGGGGACTGTGTTTGTCATGGGGAAGCCACCTTTCGGAGCCATTGATCAATTGGGTCTGACGGCCACACATCCCCTTCCCCAGGTCTTTGCTGCACTGCCTCCTGAGTCTTCCACTCTAAGGGCAATTGCTTCCGAGCTGGGGCTCACGTGCACAGAGTGGGTCCCTCTAATCTCTGGGCAGGAGTGTGGTGTCTCACAGATGACCTCCATGGCTCCGAGAAGCAGCGCCTCCTCCCAGGCCATGAGCCACTTTTGTCGCTTTGTTTGTTGGGGAGGGAGATGTAACTGCTTTACAATGTCATATTAGTTTCTGCTATACAATGAAGTGAATCCTTCCCAGTGGTTGGGAACCCCTTCCTCGCTGTCTTTCACTGACCAGTCTTCCTTCAGCAGAGATGAGGGCTCAGAACCAACAGCAGTGTGCGTATGGCATGTTTTGGGGGCTTGTGGACATGTATGCATGTCTCAGTGAATGTACAGACCTCAGTTTCTCTGAATTGTGTGTGTCCCAAGCAGATGTGATTTTCTGGAACCATGCCCACTTTCCCCATGACCCCTGACATCAGTGGCATGTCATCCACTCAGCCACAACCTCTCCCCTTGCCTCACCTTTTGTTTGGGTACTTGAAAGCTGCCCGTTTCTATCCATTTTCTGTTATTTTGGCTCATGTATGCCTTTCCCTGGTGAACCTCCAGAATATTCTGTCTTCAGAGAGGGAGCAGGTCTCCCTCTCTGGGCAGTTAACACGCAAGGATTTTCTTAGGATGCAGGACAGATGCGCCCCCATGTCAAGCGGTGAAATGTTTCCGGCATCACCCGGAGAACACAATTGAGAAGCGGGTCTCACAGCTGAGGACCGAATAAATGATTAACGTGTCCAAATTCACTGTAGTTTGGGCTTATGTCATTTAAACACGCTTCAATGGAGACCACTTCTTGATCCCTGCAGGGAAAAGTAAGAATTCTCTAGCGAAGTTAATCTGATGTCTGTCAAAATTGTGATGAAAACTTAATAGCATGTTCACTTGGATAGGCACCAAACCCAAACACTCTGTAATGAGCTCATAGCATAGCAGCGGCTGAAAGGTTCGTGTCGTTTGGGTTAATTGTGATTTATTCTCTTCAGTTTTCTCCCACACATTGGTGCCCTGGATGCAGATTCTGTTTAGGATGGGATTGTAAATCAGTCCTGATGTTCTCGTCCGTCAGGATTGGAGTGTGGAGGGCGGGAAGGTGTGCTTATGCAACCATCTGCCCTGATCCAGCCCTGGGTGTTCCCTCTGTCTGGCAGCAGCACAGAGTCAGCTCTAGCTGGAGCTCAAAGAATCCTGGAAGACCAGAATTCTCAGGAATGGCAGGAGTCTTCCCCAAGGAAAGACAGTTTAAGAACCAGTCTCTGCCAGGAAAGCATTATGGGGATGTGACCTGGCCCCAACACCCCAGGCCCAGGGCTGGGTGTGTAAGGCCCCCTGGTAATCACAGCGTGAGTGTGTGGCACTCACTATCCTTGAGGGTAGTGAGTGTAGTGGGTAGTGAGTGTGGGGGTAGTGAGTGTAAGGAGATATTTGGGGGCAGTGAGTACAGAACACCAAGGGTAGGGTTATTGGAAGGAGCAAGATTCTGTGAAATAGACCCAATATAAAATGGTTTTCCAGGTGGCTCAGCACTGAGGAATCTGCCTGCCAATACAGGAGACTCTGGTTTCATTCCTTGGTTGGGGAAGGTCCCCTGGAGAGGGGAATGACAACCCACTCCAGTATTTTTGCCTGGAGAATTCCATGGACAGAGGAACCTGGTGAGCTACAGTCCATGGGATCTCAAGAGCTGGACAGGACTTAGTGACTAAACAGCAATAACAAAATGATTTTTCACACGTTTACACACACACACACACAGTCCTTTTGGTTCCGCGTTCTCACACCTCTGCTGGAGGGAGCCTGGTTGGTCAGGAAAGGACAACGAGGAAGGGACTCTGGACGTTTGTGAAGCCAGCATCCCAAGGTCCTGGGATGCTAAGCAAAACAGAGACGTGTCCTTAGCTGGATGGAGCTGGCCCCTAAACGGGGGGACAGAGCTTGCTCTGGGGGGACTGAGGGTGGTCTGTGACAGCAGGAAGTCACAGAGTTCAAGCCATCACTAGGGTGGCTTGAACCAGAAGGGCCCTTGGGGGCTTGTGTTGGGGATTGGGGGCGGACAGCACTGGAGCTCTGGTTGTGTATGGCGACACCTAGTGGCCATTCCCTTGTCTTCCGCAAGAAGACAGCCAACTGACCATCAACCCTTAGCCACAGGACAGAATCAGAAGGCTTTTATCCCCAGAAGCCCTCACTCCCAGTGCGGAGGCTTCATGGAGCATTTCAGTGTCCTTGGAGAGCACGACAGCCCAAGGCAGACAAGTTACTCGGGAACGAGAGTCTTTGGGAAAGCTGAGTTTGGTTATGGAGACTGGATTAGAGATTTGCATTTGACCCTAGGAAGATTGAAGGCAAAAGGAGAAGGGGTCATCAGAGGATGAGATGGTTGAATGGCATCTCACTAGATGGACATGAATCTGAGCTAACTCCAGGAGACAGTGAAGGACAGGGGAGCCTGATGTACTGCAGTCCATGGGGTCACAAAGAGTCAGACATGACTTAGCGACTGAACAACAAAAACAAATTTGACTCTAAGTGATGTGGATATTGTTGCATGGGGTGGAGGGGGGAGTCAGAGCCCAGACCCCACTGGCTGTCAGAACTGTCCCTTCAGCCACCCGGACTTGGGCTGTGGGAGGAATGGGTAAGTGAAGCACCTGTGGCCCCAGCACCCCAGCGGGTGCAGAGACACAGTCATCGAGCACCCAGCAGGTGCCCTCAGAAAGTAGGACGAGACGGGGCAGCTGGACAGGAGGGCCTGGGCAGGGGTGCACCACCTGCTTGGATCACAGTCAGGAAAGGCTCCCCAGGAAGACCTCTAAGCGAGGCCTGGAGACCCTCGGGCAGAGGCTGGTGGGGGAAGAACCTTGAGGCAGGTCCTGGACATAGGCGGGGAGGCAGAGGGGAGGGGAGCAGGGGGAAGAGTGGGGGCAAGGAGGCAGGACTAGCCTGCGGGGTCCCAGCAAGGACATGAAATGTATCCTGGGGTAGGCTGAAGTGAGGAGAAATTTCATCTGTTCTGGTTTGTTAAAATGATCATTCTGGCTACTTGTGTGGGGTGGGGGAGTGGAAGGATGCACGAACGGGTCAGCAGGTAGAGGAGCCAAGCCCTCCCGCTCAGCTGTGCTGGGAAGTTAGGACTGTCCCTGCACTGTGCGCCTGGCCCCAGGGACGCCCTGGTGGAGGCCAGCTACCTCTCAGTCAAGGTCTTTCTGGAGGCCGCTCACCCCTCCTTCCCTATTATCAGTTGTGAATTGGGCCCTTTTCTGAGCCCGGAGGTGGCAGGGGGGCACACAATGGAAGAGAAGCGTGGGTTCTGGTGGTGGAAGGAAGGCCCTGTAAGGCACTGCATCGAGTGCAAGGCTGCCGCGAACACATTTTGCATTTTGCCCTGTTGTACGGGCTTCAGGGCAGGAGCCCCTGTTAGCTTTGACAGGCGCCTCCAGGGAGGCTGCTGCCCAGGGCTCTGGTGCATTTCTGAGCCCGCCTCTCATCCGGGAGAGCCGGCCTTTCCTGGGTTTGCTGGCCCCTGAGGGATGGACCGTGTGAGGAGTGTCCTTGGCCCCAACCCGGTCCTGCGAGCGCAGCTCCTTGGCACCAGGGCCGCGGAGGCTCCACCCCCACCAGCTGCTGCGTTATTTCTGACTCATCCAGGAGTTACAAGTGTGTAACCCAAACCCCTCCACGCCCGGCTTCCTCCCCACTGGCTCCTCCTGGAGGGAGGAAACCCCGGGACGTCTCTCCCGGGACCTCGCCGCTGCAGGTCGGGTCCCCACCGCACCTGGACACACTGCCGCTCACAGGAGCCACCCTGTGACAGGTGGGTGGGCTGGTGAGGGTGGCAACCGCGAGCCCAGGCGGGTGTCTGTGCCCGCAGCCCCGGGCTCGCCGTCCCCATCGAGGGATTCCTTGGAGCCCGGCCCGGGAGCCGGCCTCTCGAACGTCAGGGACTTGTGCAGAGGGAGCTGTCTTGGTGTCTGGGGGCTGGGTACTGATCCCACGGCTTCTCCAGCTACAGGCCGCAGTCAGCTGCCTCGATCGCGTCACGTTGCTCCTCATGGAAGCTGCCTGCTTTGAGAGCCGGGGATACTTGGGGTTTTGTGCAGCACATCCCCTAGGCTCGTCGTAGCAGGAGCCTAGCTGAGGGGGTGACTGGAAGGTGACGCTGGCCAGGAGTCTGGGTCAGCTCAGCCCCCGGGGGCCCAGCAGCTCCACGCACAGAAGGGACTGGCCACCAGCGCCTGCTGCGAGGAGTGGGGGGTGGGTAGCTGCTCGGGCTGCTTGTTGGGCCAGCAGGGGTGAGGGGGGGACCGGCAGCTCGCCTCCACGCCGGGCTCTCGGAAACGAGCCCCTAAGGCATGGTGGGCTGCCTGACACCTGCCCACGTGCGGTCTGTGTTGTCCTGACACTGTCCCCCGCCCCATGCTTCTCCTCACTCCGCAGCAGTCCCCAGAGCTGGCCAGGGGATGAACCGCGAGGGGGCCTCCGGGAAGAGTCCGGAGGAGATGTACATTCAGCAGAAGGTCCGAGTGCTGCTCATGCTGAGGAAGATGGGCTCCAACGTGAGTGCCTGCGGGGTGTCAGGCAGCAGGGCCCCCGGGGAGGGCGCCTGACGAAGGCAGCCGGAGGGCCACAGCCGCCCTCTGCAGCCATGGTCTGGGGAGGGGCTTGCGGGGGCTCTGGTTAGGCTGTGGCCGATTCAGGCTCCCGGACACAGACGCCAGCAAGTCCAGTCCTGCCGGCCCTGCAGGGCAGTCTTCCCACCCCCTGTGCTAAGCTTGGGCCAGGCGGGTGAGGATTTCTAAAGGCCCTGACCTTCCCTCCTTCCCCTCTCCCAAGAGCCTTCTTTTCCAGGGGGGCTCTCCGAGCCTGGCCTGCCCTACGCTGCAATCCCTGTGCCAGATCTAATCCACAGTGGCAAGCCCTGTGGCCCCCATGGGCCAAGCTTCAGGGGTGGGAGCAGAGGGGTCAGAGTCTCACCCTGGGATGGAAAGGTCACATCTCAAGAATGGAGGCCTGGGGAGCGGAGAAGGAGGCACCCTTTGGGGATGAAGCCGCTCTGAGCAGGTGCCTCCGGGGCGGGTGCGAGCCACCCCTCACCCAGCTCTCTCGTCCTTGCAGCTGACGGCCAGCGAGGAGGAGTTCCTTCGCACCTACGCGGGGGTGGTCAACAGCCAGCTCAGCCAGCTGCCCCAGCACTCCATCGACCAGGGTGAGTCCATCGACCAGGGTGCGTGCCAGCCACACCCTTCCCAGGGGCAGCAAGCGGTGGTTCCTTTAGAACGCATAGCTCCAGCCCTTGCAGACGGGCCATCCCCAAGAGAGAGGGAGCAATTTGAGGCAGACAAGGAGGGGCTGCAGCTCCGCCCACCCACACAGCTAACCCTGGGTGGCGGCAGCCTCTAAGCGTGGAGTCTGGGGTGCCTCCACGGCCTCCAGGCTGGTCCTTTCTTCCCCAGACGGGAGCCAAGGAGCCAATCAGGTAATGGGGGGGAAATCCCTTTTGGGCCTGGTGGAGGAAGCAGTGGCGGTGTCTGGGGGCCCTGTAACTGCAGAGGCTCTTGTTGCATGTCTTTAGCCCTTGCCTGACCCCTGTCCACCCTGTTCAGGACAAGAAAACCACCCTTGTGTGCAGGGGCCTGGCCTGGTCGCAGACTTTACAGTGGCTGCTGTGTTCCTGGCTGTGCCCCGGGGGGTGGCCGCAGCGGCCCTGCAGGTCTCTGTGTGCCCGAGGTAGTTACTTCTCTCTTGAGCGCCCTCAGCCAGTAAGGATAGTAGTGGGTAACACTGAGTGATTATTGTGTAGCAGGCTCAGGCTGAGTGCTTGATACACATCATTACATTTAACCTAGAGAGCTACCAGCTGTGTTACTTCTACTTAGCAGGCAAGGAAACTGGGGTTCAGAAGCAGTAAGCCACTGCAGCCAGTTCATGCTGCCAGTTACTGGGCAGGGGGTGGGGGGCAGAATGCAAACCTGCCGCTGGACTGCAGGGCTGGGTTCCACTCTTTTTGTCTTCTCTGGAGCCCAGAACCCTGCCCATCATCTTCATTCAGTCCTTTCCTTTTGTTCTCATTACACTGGCTTGGAATTATTGGCTATTAAATCGTGCAGCCAGGAGCCTGTCTGGTGTGAGCAGGCTCCCAGGAACTGGGCCCTGGTGGATGTGTTTGCTGACCCCCAAGGCCAGGGAGGAGAGCCACTCTGGCACACAGGCCAGCTTTTCTTGAGGCTGCCCTTGTTCTCCTGGATGTCACAGGCAGGGCTCTGCCCTGGCATGGGGCCCGGTTCCCGAGCTCTGACGCTGGGTGTGACCCGGCCTGTGCACCCAGCTCAGCAGAAATGTACAGGGTGTTCCGGCGGCTCCAACAGCTCCTGGGTCGGCCGCTCGCCCTGGCCACACTCATGCCACAGCCTGTTCCACACCAGCTGCGCTGTCAGCCACCGCTGGGAGAGGAGGAGATGAGGGGTGTGTCCCTGCCCCTGTCCTGGGATATCTCTTGTGGGAGAGGCCTTTTCTTTTCCAGGACTGATCTGGGTTTTAGTGTGAGTCCCTCTTCTCTGCTCCTGAAACCCTCCTGCTTTCTGAGTTCCAGGGGCATCACATTTTCTGCCAGCCTGGTCTTGGGTCACTGGGCTAACCTGATTTTGAGTTAAGACTACTACTAGAAGACTACTAAGACTACTTCTAGAAGAATGCTCTTAATGGGAAAAATCAAAAGAAGCTATAAAACTGTATGTCAGTGTAGAAAATGCTACCACATGTACTACCCTGCCCCCGCCCATATCCACATACTCATGCATAGAACAGAAAAAGCGGAAAGAATATTTAGCAGGTTGTTTATAGAAAATTTTGATAGAGGGTGGGACCATATAAGGCACCTTGAGTTTCTAAGTCACACACTTTTCTGCTAAAACTAATTTTTTAACATTGCACATACATTTTTTTTTTTTTTTTGGACAATAAGGGGAAATTTTTTTTTTTTAGTCTGTGAACTTTTATTTTTGGTTTTCTAGTTTTCTTTCTTTTCTATCTTTCTTTTTCTTTTAAAAATTGAAGTATAGTTGATTTACAATGTTGAATTATTTCCTCCTATATAGCAAAGTGATTCAGTTATGCACATATATGCATTCTTTTTTTAATATACTTTTCCATTATGGTTTATCATAGGATACTGAATATAGCGCTCTGTGCTAAAGATTAGGACCTTGTTGTTTAAAAGGGAAGTTTTAAAAAGTACTTTTTATCTTGCTTGGCTAAACCAACAATTGAAAACAAACTCTGTTGAGTTATTTAAGGCAGTCATGGTGACCTCACCTGGCCTGAAACTGCTGAGCAGTCAGGAGTGAGCTGTGGGCGTGTGGCTGTGAATTTGTGGTGTTGGAATCTGGACCCTCCCTGGTTTGGGGCATCCACAGACAGCCAGGCTGGCCTTGGGTACTTCTCTCTCTTGGGAACAGACTCCTGGGACTAAACCTGGAGCCGGGGGGTGGGGGGGGGAATATCTGGGGAGACGGTTCTCTGCTGCTGGGGTGTCCTTCAGTCTGCCTCTCCTCCCACGGTCACCTCTGACCTGAACCACTGAGAAAACAGGCTTCAGAAAGGCCTGAAGGAGAATTCCCTGGGGTGTGAGTTGGAAGGGGGGAGGGGTCAGCAGTGCCTGAAAGAGCTTCCGGAGCACACTGTATTTCCTTTATCTCTTGCACTGTGGAGGTTCAAGCCTGAGAGCAGGACCCTACATTTCTGACCATGCCGTTGGGCCACGTGGGGCTCGAATAACATTCTAGCCTCTCCACTTTCTTCATCGGCAGAGCCGCCCGCAGCTGATGCCATAGAGCCTGTTGCTCTCAGAGGCTCAGGCACAGCCCAGGTGGCAAAAGCTCAAGATCGTTGCTTTCATTGCTCAGGACGCCAGCATGAAAAGCCCAGAAAGGCCTAGGAGCATTTGGGGTGGTGGGCAGGGCGGTCCCAGAGAAGCCTGGTGTGGGCGCCTCCTGCCACTAGGTGGCACTGTCTCTCAGCAGATGCCCTTGCTCTGCTCCTGGGAGCCCTTGCAGCTCTTACCTCTGCTGTACCAGCTGCCCTCGGTAGGGGGCCTGGGCCGCCCCTTCACCCGTCAGGGTGTGGCAGTCGGTCCTAGGGTCCTGCCCACCACCTTAGACCTGTCCATGCTTCTCCTCTGAGGCTGGAGGGGTCTGGTTCCAGGAGCACTGCTTGCCCTCCCCAGACCCAGGGAGGAGAGCAGGCTGTGCATTGCTTACCTGGGCATTGCTCCCCCCACCCCCACATCCCATCCTTCCCCCTCTGAACGTGTCTTCAGTACCTGCTGGCTGCAGACAGCTGCTGGAGACCCTAGTGCACAAGCCTGCACCTTACGGCCTCACTGACTGGTTCCAGCAGAGGGTGTCGGTTGCCCCCACTACCCTGTACTGAAGCCAGGATGTACTGAAGCCTGCCTGGCCTCTGTTAATCCAAGACCACCCTCGAAGTCTCTCAGTGACTTCCTACTGCCTTGAGGATACAGTCCGAACCCCTTAGCCATGATATGTGGGACCCCCCGCCCCCACTACCTCTCCCACCCTCAGCCCGCCCCCCCCCCACAACTACCTCCCCCACCTCTGCCCCAGACACCAGGACCTCATACTCCATAAACAGCCACAGTGAGTGGCTTTCTGCTCCCATCTCAAGCCTTGTGTATTCATGCCTTCCTGTCCCCGCATTTGCCTCTCAACGACCAGGAGCCCAGCACTGATGCGCCCCCTCCCCTGCCTCCCGCAGGCTGGGCCAGGCCCTCCTCTCGTCTCCACCACACACGTGCACCTCAGCTGTGCTGCTCCGCATGCTGTTTCCTGGTCCATCTCTGGACCAACTCTGAGCTCCTGTGGCTTCCCTCTTCACATTTGTGGGGCTTGGCCCCCCAGGCCCCCAGCATGTTCTTGGGTGAATAAATAGACTGGGCTCTGGATCTGGAAGCTCAGAGTCCCCAGAAAGGCAGGAACGTGAAGCGCTGTCTCTTGGTCCCCATGGTGGCCGAGCAGACCCAACAGCTGAGTTTGAACCAAAGGCAGCCAGTGCTTCTCTGGGAAGATCACTTTGCTGAGAAGGCCTAGCTGTAGGCTCGGGGACAGAGAGCTGTCGCTTCCAGAATCAGGTTCAACAGAATGCTGAGTTCGTTCCTTTCTTGTCAGTGCTGTTCAATCTGTACCATATATTGATAATTTTTCCTGGCTATGAAAGAATGCATAATCATCATTGAAAGTGGTTGGGAAAGATAGAAACAGCAGAAGCGCCTAAAGGATTGACTCTGCAAATAGCTGAACCCATTACCTTGCGTTAGTTGCCCAGCAGGCTTTTAAAAAAAAAATGCGTGAATTTCCATTACAAAGTTGTAATGGATTTCCATATAATGTAAATATTATGATATCCATTTTAGCTTCCATTTTTTAGTTAGGATAATTTTGTTTAGTCACTAACATGTTTGACTCTTTTGCAACCCCCTGGACTGTATGTAGCCTGCCAGGCTTCTCTTTCCATGAAATTCTCCAGGCAAGAATACTGGAGTGTGTGGCCATTTCCTTCTCCAGGGCATCTTACTAACCCAGGGATTGAACCCATGGCTCCTGCATGGCAGGCAGATTGTTTACTGCCAAGCCACCCCGGAAGCCCTATGGGAATTTTACCGCGTCCTTGATTTCTGAGAAAGTGATTCAGCAAAATCACAGGATATGAGGCCATGTGGCTGTTGGACGTGTGGTTCTCATCTTTGCTGTTAATTATAATTAATTTAATTTCTTGAGCTCCTACTGTATGTCAGGTTCTGTGTCAAGTAGCACATAAAGTTACCCCAGGGAGTCCTCCCAACAGGGCTGTGAGGCAGAGGTGATCACAGCCCCACCTTCCCAATGAAAAAACAGGCCCTGAGAGGTTGAGTGAGATGCTCAAGGCCATAGGATCAGCTGTGTGGTTCCTGTCATGTGGTTCTAGATATGGCTTACAGGCCATATGTGTTTCCAAGCATAACAGTGTTTTACCTGAGGGGCAGGTGTGATGGAGGCGGTTATCATGGTGTTTCAGGAGGGCATGAAAAAAGTTGAAAGGGTTTCCTGTTGCTGTTTTCTGGACTTTTCACCTCTGGGCCCCTTTAAACATGTTCACTCTGAGCTCTGTGTCTCTCCCTGACCCAGCGCTGCTTCCAGGATGAACACCTGGCCA